TTTGGCATTTATTAAATTCTGACAGATTTCATTACAATATAATGTCACCCTCGTAATTGATTTATTTATTTTTATGACGCTTTAAAACGGTTTTTTGAAGATTGATTAAATACACTGTCAAGAAATAACTTACTTTTTAGTTGAATTTATCAATTATTTCATATCAAATCAGAATAAATAGGGAATGCCAACTTACGATTAATTTTAATGTTAGTGTATATAAAATACACTAACACTAAAATTATATATATGTAAACTATACATAAATATATGTAAACCGAATATTACTGTAACGTAAATACTTAAGCCTCTCTAGGAAGGATATCGTATCGACATGATGCATTGTATTTTTGAATGAAGTGGAACGAAAGCATCAATTCTTTTTAGTATCGAGTTGCATAAACAAATTTTTAATATATTTAGAAATTTAATAAATATTATAAACTGTTAATTAATTTTTTTTCTATTTAAATAAGTTTTCTTTCAAATACAACGTTTCTTTTATATGGCAGAATTTAATAGTGTTATTCTAGAAGAAAGAACCTAAAAATTATTGTATATAACATATACTAGTAACTAAAATTATAAATAAAATTTTAATTAGTTAAATTAAGATAAATGTTGTTTTATTTTAGTGATTTTCGCAGTATTTATCTTCTCTATTACCATCTCGGAGTTGGTCATGTCTCAGAGCTGTCCAGCAATATATCGACGACTCAGCGAAAATCATTCTTATTGCATGTCTTCAACATGCAAGGTGATAGCAGGAGGAAAAGTTTCGGAGAGTGATAAACAAACAATATTAAAAGTGCACAATGAATTAAGAAGTAAATTGGCAACTGGAAAGGAAACTCAATATCAAAAATTGCCCTCTGCCTCTAACATGATGCAAATGGTAAAATAATAATAATAAATAAACTTTACAATAACAGATACTCTTTTAATAATTATTATTATTTTTAAGGAATGGGATGATGAATTAGCAGCTATAGCTCAAGCCCATGCAAACCAATGTAACTATGAACACGATTCTGGAGATCAGCGTGCAGTAGGTAAGATTAAAAATTACTTTATACTGTATTAATTTTAATCGTAAAAATATATTTAAATAAAATGAAATAAAATAAAATTTTGAACCAAAATTTCAAATATTTATATTTCGAATTTTGGTTCAAAATATATCAGATATTCAGAGTCTTCCAATATCAATCATTACTGTAATTTATGTTGATTATTATCTGTATAGTATGCGATGTAGTGTACATCAAGCTATAGATAACTGTCCGAGTTTCATCCCTCATCTGAGTTCAAACGTCTTGTAGAATTATGGCTGCTGTAGGAGGAGGGAAAACGGATGTAATGCAACATTCATTGTATCATTTCCGTTGCATCAGGAAGTATTTCAGTATCGGTTCGATGTGTGCCATGCGACACGAAATGCATACGTTCAGAAATTTAATGGGCAAATCTGAAACTTGGACAGTTTTCCGACTTTTTAATATATATTACAACGTTCTCAGGTAATAATTAACGTAATTACAATAATAAAATGATAACATTGTTTTCGAAGACCATGTATTGTACGTCGATCGATGATGATAATTAGAATAATCAAAAATAAATATAGCGCTTTATATTAAGAATTTAATATCATAAATATAATAACTACGTTATGAAAGTTTCTCAATTTGTTTATTTTTCTTTATAATTCTATATAATTGTAAGACAGAATACATGCTCATAATCAAATATAAAAATCTTTTTTAAACAAAAAATAATAATAATAATAATACACATAGCTCTATTTAAATTTTGAAACAATTTATTCAATATTAACACTATTATTTTAATTAACAGGAAACTTTAGCGTTGGACAAAATCTCCTTCAATCAACCGAAACTTTATCTATAAATTGGAATGCAGTTAAAATGTGGTACACTAGCGAAGTAAAATATTTCCATCCAGAATACAATAATCCCTTTCAATATCAAAAACCTTACGGCCATTTTTCTCAAGTACCTATAATTTAATACTTATTATAGTTATCTACATAAAATAGCTTTGATTATATATTATTTAATTAAACATTTAACTTGATAAATTAGGTTATTTGGGCAAAGACGTGGAAAGTCGGATGTGGTGTAGCCGGATATGAAGAAAATGGTGTCAAAAAGGTTCTGTATACTTGTAACTACGGACCGACGTAAGATATATTTCATCAATATAATTTAAATAAATAAATTTAATTTGTATTAAGTATTTATATTTTTAATTTTCAGCGGAAATTTGGGTGGTTCAGAAGCGTACCAAGTAGGATCTGCATGTTCTGCTTGTCCTAAAAACACTAAATGTTCCGATACTTATCCGGGATTATGTAGTAAGATAAAACGAAGATTTTAAATTATATTTAATATTGTATATTTTAATTTCAATTTTAATGTGTTTTGGAATTTGTAGAATCTATTACTTCCGATGGTCCTCAACCAAGTCGACCTTCTTCTAGTGACTATTTACTTTATTGCGATTTTAGTAATGAAGATCCACAAGCATGTAAAGACGTAAAGATGACTGGATCGAGATCGTTCTCAACTGAAAAAGTTTATACAGGTAACTAATTTATCATACCATTATTTTATAATATACAGTATATAATATTAACTTCTAATGTATTAAAACAGGAAAGTATGTAACCGCGGTGTTTAATTCTGGCGAAAAGATGACAATAAATTTTGGAAAATTCCAACACAAAGATGGATTATGTGCATTTTTGATTGGAAGATTTGGTCCAAATGTAGCGGGTGAAAAAGCGGGATCATTTGTAAGTTACCATTTTGCTGCTCCCGGTTTGATTTTCCCAGATGGAATGAAAGATACCAGAATTTCTTCTTCTTGGCATACTATTGGAATTTTAATGCAATCAGATACAGAAATGGAGGCAAGTTTATAACTTTTTCTATAAATATTATAAACTAAATCTTAAGCTTAAGCCTTATTTATATATCATATATATTTTTTGTACAATTGTAGGTAACTTATACTTTTGAAGTTAACGCCGGTGCTCCTCCACAATACTTCGAATTTAAAGAATATGGAGTTAAAGGAGGAAAATGCCCTTAACTTTATTAGTATCTCTTATATTTTGACTGTGTAATAGGTTTATATGGTATTTTTAAAAAATATGTTTTTCGGTAAAAAACAAATCTTTTCTTTTTATTAATTAATTCTATGCATATTTTTCTTATGTGTAAATTTACTTTTAAAATATACTGTATATATGGAATAAATATAATAAAAATAAATTATATGAGCAATGGAATATTTGTAGTAATATATCAAACTCTAAAGTTATCAATACTGAACCCCGGGGGTCGGCAATTTTTCAGCGGTGTTGTGCCGAACCTAAGTTATAATGTTATTCCGGGTGCCGACATGATTCTACTAATTTCGTTACATATACTATTAAAATTGGATTATTTGTGTGTATCTTTAAAATTATCTACTTTTGACGTCCATTGTAATCGGAGTATATATTGATATAATATACTCCGATTATATTTGAAAAATATATAATTTTGTTANGCGATTTGACAAGGCGATCTGAAATTCTTGTCTGCATGTTGCGACCATAAGTTGTTTCCAGTCTGGCTGAGGTAGTGGTGGCGAGGTCCGCTTAGCATGTTGTAGTTTAAGCTGGATTTTGGCAAGGAACCAGGTAGTGGTCTGAGCCACAATCAGGTCCTCTCATGGATCGAACGTCCTTCAGCGTTGAACGGAATCGGAGGTTTATTAGGAAATAATCCAGTACAGCAGAATCCTCACCGGATGGATTTCTCCATGTGAGCTGGTGTTTTAGTGGATGTTGAAACCAGGTGTTCCCAATGATCAAACTGTTGGAGGCGGCAAAGGATAAGAGACGCTGTCCATTATCATTGATTTCACCATATCCGAATTTGCCCACTGTTGTCTCCCATCCGCTTCTATCCATACCAGTATGGGCATTGAAGTCGCCGGTCAGGATAATCAGCTCAGTCTGTGGGATCATGTCCACCGTATACTGCAGTTGGTTGTAGAAATCATCCTTGGCTGTGTCATGACTAGTTTCAGTTGGTGCATAGGCGCTCACAATGTGGGCCTTGATAGTACCGTGTACCGTAAGAACTGCTAAACGGTCCGATATTGGCTGGAAGGCGATAACACTGCGCCCAGCCCGCCCATCCACCATGAACCCAACGCCTGCCTCCCGACTGTCACCTCCAGAATAGTAAAGCGTCATTATCTTATCGCTATTCGGTGGCTGTATGGTCATTGTTCCAGATCCAGTAAGTCTTAGTTCTGATAGAGCTGCAATCGGAATATTGCATTTAGCAAGTTCACTTGCAATGATTTCCTTTTGGCCAACATGGTGTCCTGTTCTGACGTTCCATGCAGCAATGTTCAATCCAATTTTTGGGGTGATATATAGTCTCTGTCTGTGTCTGTGGCCCATATCCAATTTCTCGCCAGCGTCCTGGGACCATAGTGCTGGCGCATCGGCTGCCCCGGATGCGGTAGCATTAGCTGCAATCTGGATTCGTTCGAAATTCATGCGGTTTCTTGGCTAGTTTCCCCAGTTTCCTGGTTCTGGTCATTTCGCCAGAATGACCACCTTCCTCCTTTCGCAGCCGGGCTTAGGACCGTCCAAGGCGGAGTT